AGTTTACGTTAAAGATTTGGATACTGGCAAAAATATACCAGCGTCAGATCTTGAAGAAGAAATTAAAAATTCAAATGGAAATATTGATCCATTAACTTATCATATAATGCAACGGGCGGGTTCAGATACTGAATTAAACCATATTGGGGATGAAATTCATACAAGAAGCGTGAGCGATGAAGATATTAATTCTACCGATGACAAACCTAACAGGTATGTAAAATGTTAAGTTGTCCATTATAATGTTCTATATCAACAAAATCGTTATCTAGTACCTAATAATTTATTTTTATTTTTCAGACGAAAATCATTTTTAAGCCGCTTAAAACGAACGTCTTATAGTTCTAAAAATAATGATAAAAATAATGATGAAGGCGGTGATGATGATGGTGTTACTGGGAATACTGCTCCAGTATTTTCCGAAAATACAGATGGTTTTGGGCGTGCTCAACCTCGATACATAAAAGTAATATTATGTAAATAATATATTAACTTTTTCGTTTATATGCTAAATTTTTCTTTTCCTTTTAAATAGACTCGAGCACGAAACAAACCAATTAAAGAATTTGATCGCCTTTTTCTTGCCCAAGAATTGTATAATCCAATTTCTAGCGATGATGCCGATTCAGATTTGACTAATATTAAACCTGGAGCTATTTGGTGTATGAAATTTAGCAAGGATGGAAAATTCTTGGCAACAGGTGGTCAAGATACAGTTGTTCGAGTGTGGGCTGTCATTTCAAGTGATGAGGAACGAGAGCATTTCCTTGAAGGATGTGGGACTAGCGTATATGAAGGTATCAGTGGTGCAAAACTAGGTGCTCCTGTTTTTCGCGACAAACCATTATATGAATATCGTGGGCATACAGCTGATGTATTGGACCTGAGTTGGAGTAAGGTTAGTCAACTACCGCCACTTATGTAATTTTTTACTATCACATTAATTTATTATTAATGATATATCAAATTAATTTTTATTTAGAATAACTTTTTACTTTCTTCGTCAATGGACAAGACTGTGAGGTAATATTTCTAATTTAGTATCTCTCCTTACTGTTATTTGAAGTTTTTTTTTTCTTTGCCAATAACCTGCTGGCATCATATTTAACTACAGATTATGGCACATGACTCGTAAAGAATGCCTGTGTTGCTTTCAACATACTGACTTTGTTACAGCCATTGAGTTTCATCCAAAGGTCTATATCATAATGTCATATCATTTGATTTGTATATTACTGTTTTTGGTGTAATCATTAATCGTACTTATACAATTTAGGATGATCGATTTTTCCTTTCGGGATCATTGGATTGTAGATTACGTCTTTGGAATATACCCGAGAAGAAAGTTGCTTATTGGAATGAGCTTACTGACTCTCAATTAATTACTGCCGTCGGCTTTACTCTTGATGGTAAAATGGCCGTAGCAGGAAGTTTATCCGGACTATGCCTTTTTTATGAAACGGATGGGTTGAAATATAATACACAGATTCAC